CACGGCAACGGTTGGAAATTGAATTGTTTCAATCTTCGATTGGCAGTGATCTAGAACACACATAAGGTAACAAATAATCCAGTAATGAATTCAATTTATAACCTCTAAATTGAGAGAATTCCAAAACCGTCTAGAAGCGTAGATTTTTGGTTGAAAAATTGACACTCGCGAATAGGTCGAGAAGTATCGACTTTCAAACCTAAATTTGAATGTTTGTGAAAATTGGTACATCAAAATTCAGTTGTCTTTTTAGGAATCAATCCTACATATTCCTTGATACGGTTTTGTGTATTTTATGATATATAAAATTAGGTCCTCATTGTAAATACATTTGGACATGCCCAGAGAGAAATATTGATAATAAATTCCCCGAAAATGCCTCTAAATGTTAAAAAAACTCGGAATTTATCGCAATATCTCAAATGAATATTTCGAAAAACCAAAAATCCTAGAAGTAATGCGAAATTTTTATTAATTGATTGCACCATTCGACGTTTTCCTAATCACACCGTAGGTTTTTTAAGAATATCCGGGAGACAAAGGCTTTTAAAGGTTTCAATTACTTTCAACGCGTAAAAATTGTACACGCTCTTTTACCGTCGCGTAACCAATAGCAGCAGCAGATTCATTTTTACGTTATCTCCCGTATTTAACGAAACACCACTTCCACTATAAGCTCCTTTTTCGAAATTTTCAAATAAAACAGCCAATCACAATTAGACGCCACCTTCGAAGGAACGTGTTCCGCGTCCCCACTTTTTGATCTCTTGACAACGATAAGAACATGTGCGTTAATTAAATTTCGCCTGATAATAAAACTCCTCATCGCAAACAATCAGATTACACTTTACACTTTTACTACCTGCGTGTTTAGACCGAAATAACGTCTACATGACGTATTCACAGCAATATTTTTAGCTTGTAGCGTAAGTATGCAGTTAGATGTGAAATAAAAATCATTTTGGGAGCCCACGAATTCAAAAATTGTCTTCTGTTATTAGCCTATTTTTTGGAATTGCTACAGCTGAAAAATTCGGAACTTATTGCATGTTTTATCTTCTTGGTCCTTTATAACTTTTGGGAATTTTCCAATCGAGAGCCATTTGAGGCAGGTCAGATCTGAAGGACATAAACAATTTTCTTAAGAATCAATACATAGCAGGAGAAAGGGGCGATCTGGATCCGGGGTTCAGAGTACCTGCACTTTTCTGTGCTAGTTTTTTTTAACATCGCGTGTACATCGCAAGAGGCATAATTTCTATTTCTAAGGACTAATTGTCTTAATAAACAACGAGCATTCGTAGTTAATGGTCGGTGGAACGCAGCGGGGATGGTTTGCTAACATAAATACTAATACATCTCTAATTTTCCTAATGAACTTGCGTGCATCAGAATTATGACCATCGGTGCCTGTAATAACCACATATAGTACACTTGGAGCATTAATTTACTATCACTGAGACTAATGAAATTAGGGCTTATCGTAGTATACGATTGTCATTAGCGAATGTACAATAATTGATTTGCCTTCCACTTTTCAGGTGATTGATTAAATTCCGGGACGTTTCAATCTCCCTCGTTTTCTTAGATCTCATAAAACGTACTAGCAACTTTGCAGTAGTCTCGCCCATTTTAGATTGGTCAATTTATTTTTGCAAATAACATTATTGTTGCATATAGCAATAATATCAATTCAGTTTAGCTTGTGACTGAAACGTGAGGAACAATTTTAAATCGCAACTCTAATCCTATCCAATTTACTTTAAGGGGTTTCTTTTGAGTATGGATCCATTGAGATTTTAAATATGTTCAAAGCGCAACGGAATACAATGCTATTCGAATTACATTGTTCGTCGGTAATTTCGCTATAAATCATTGGAATGTAATGGTTTAGGAAAACAAACGAAACTCTAAACCTAAATTAGTAATTTAGTAGAAGCATTGTCACTATAAAGGTAGGTACATAAATGTCAAAGGATACACAACAAGTTTAACTTTAGATCAATAGGATTGGCCATTTCATGCGACACTGCAAACGGGTGATGCGTCCCCGCAGAGCTATATATCAATTAGGATACCCTTCACGTAAAAATACCCATAGCCGTACATACATTCTATGGTAGACAGATGCGTCCAGTGCTTTGCCGGTGATTTAACGTAAACGGGGTTGCCGTGTAACCCTGACAAGCAAGTTCGATAATCCGTGATCAAGGGAATATCATTTATCTTCATCTCATTCTGTCCGCCGTTTTAACTTTATATCTAAAACAACGCGATACTTTCACGCCCCCCTTCGCGTGGAAAATTTTTCCGTGCGCACGTATATTCATCAATTTGCCCAACGAATTTCCCTCGATCAGGAAACGCGTTTTTCGTTTATTACGTCATCGTTTCGCTCTGTTTTTCGCTAATTTACAATCCGCTAATGAACGCACGTGACCAGAATTGTCACATGCGTATTTTGTAATTATTCCATATAGGTTTCCAGGCTGAAAGTTGCCACGAGATTTGACCGATTTTAGGTTCACCTAAAAAATTGCATAATTAGCGTTTTGTGCTTTGAACTCCTGAACTTTGTACGCTTTTATCCTATGAAAGTTACTAACTCCTTGTGCGTGGGTGCGATTCGAGTATTATTCTTCTCATTACCATATTTAAACGTTTTTCGCGCTCTCTACTAGCAAAGTTGTTTGTAGTAGACCAACAGGATATCAACATTATACTGTGGAACAGCGGATGAGTATGAAGGTCTGGTGAAAAGTCACATCTGTTTCTGTGATGTAACGGTCCTAGCGGTTACAGACTACCCTTAGCGTCTGCATAACCCAAGGACCTCTAAAACGTCCCTTCTAACCACCTCCTCGTCACCAAGACAACCTGTGTATGTTTGGTTGCCTAATATAATGATTAGAAATATATGTACACTAATTAACTAAATATGTATTTACACTTATATAGAAAACTAAATAACAATGGTTGAATGCGACCCAACTGGAAACGTCAGAACGGGCCCTTGACTTTCCTTGTAGTTTTATTGATCTGTAATTTAACCTTGCTAGCATCCAGTATCACAACAAGTTCGGTCTATAACTAACTTTGAATGTAGTCAAGGCTACTTAGGTGAATTTTACGTTACAGCCAAAACTAAAGTATGACCCATGGTACCTTACAGGGGGGGTTTGTTTACGGCGAGCTCGCGAATGTACATTCGCAGCGTCTACCGAACTTTAAAAGCAGGTAATCTTTAATTAACCCGAATATATCTGGAGAGAGCGCGGTATTACAACCGACACGTTTACGTTACTTGAGGGACAGGTAAATTCAATTAATAATTAATCAAAAGAAAGAGAGCGGTATTACAACCGCCACTCCGACTTCAATTGATCATCAGGTCTTTGTCAGAGCGCGATCTACAATCGCTACCGTCTGACCAGATAACAGGAATGTGGTGCTTAGGATCAGGAAAAGAATTCTAAGACTAGTCCCCTTTCTGGTCCGGTTTCTGTTTATATAGTGCTTGGAAGGAAGTGGGAATCTAATGGTAATTGTAATTTAGTGGTCGGAATGTCAACAAACATGACGTCCCCGAAACTACCGCCCTCTTCTACTCGAAATTTAGATTAACTCCAGATTCTTACATGAGTCAAATCATAGACCATTTGGTCTATGGTCAAATTAAGAATTAATCTTATTAAATTTCACATAATTACAATGACTGTAACTTCTTCTATTTACAAAACCTCGCTGGAAATTTTTTTTCAATTTTCTAGGTTTGCCACTAGAGGGCGTAAGATACTTGATTAAGAAGAAAATGATTTTTTTGCTAAAATATACCCAACAAACATGCGCAAAGGATACGCACATCGCAATCTTGTATGAATTTTGCATCATTTTGGTGCAGGAAACGTTGCTCTAGCTCATGAAATATGAGGGATGGTGGAAGGGCAACATCTCATTATGGAGTTGAATCTAACTTACCGATTTTCACATAGTTGGAAAGAGCTCTCTTCGTGTAATCAGATTTTACATAAACAGAGCATTTTTAGTAAATGTGATGAATGGTAGAGGGCGCGGTTGGACATCCACATAAACTTTGGAGATTTTCTTGAAAAATTTCAAATGGAACGATATAATAATATTATCAAATAAGATGAAAAAGTGAATCAATGAATACCGCATTTTGATATTTTTCCTAAACAAAGATATGGCGAAAAATACGCACATTCACAAATTTAAATTACAATATTTATATTCATCCAAGTTAGCATTGAAACAAAAGAACACGTAACAACCGATACTAACCGTATCTGCCATCATTTTCAATACATTTCAATACAGTAGAGAAGAGCACCTTCAATTTCGCCACCACCACCACATCCTGTAGTTGGCCTTGTTTGAAATACTAGGTCTTTTATCCTCCCCCACAAATAGAAATCTAAGCAAGTTAGGTCGGGTGACCTAGTTGGCCATCTTCCTTTCAATTTGACAGGATACCGTAATTCACCGAGGAATGTGCCGTTCACCCATCGTGTTGAAAATACATGTTCACCCTGGTTCCAAGGTTTCCAAGCTTCAAGGAGAGTGGATCAGTTATTTGCGTGCCATTGTGTTCCTTTTGTTTCAAAGCCAACTTGAATAAATGTAAATATTGCAATTTAAATT